TATATATATATATATATATATATATATATATAATACTAAAATGTTACACTAAAACTCTGTGATTAAAATATATAACTTCATCCTTGGTTTTGAAGTATCTTTCCTGATTGTAGGGATGAACGATGTTTTGATTTCTGTCGAACAAATGAGACAGAAACGTCACCTCATACCACATGACACGTGCAGTGCACAGAAACTATAAACATAGTAAAATACTTTCCCTAAACCTCCTCCAACTACAACACTTTAAATTAAATTCAAAGGGTAACCGCTAATCTTTCGAAGTGGATGTTTTGTAGGGGGTAATTTTTATGCACTTTCTGGTGTTCTTAAATAACACTAGTTTAAAAATATGACAAAAAATTTATTGCTATTAAGAAAGCATACTTGTACTTGGCAGTCTCTGAACACTGGGTTGCTGAAATATAAAATTACACACACACACATATATATATGTATATAGCATATATACTAAATATACATTACAACATTTTAAAAATAATTACGACGACAGTTAAATCTAATTGAAATTCTAGAGCTACATAATTTTGCTACTACTAAGTGAACAGCAAAAAAAATTAATATCGCATCATTTTGTTTACCACTAAAAATTAGCTAATGTAAAGTTTAACATAATATTGTCCCTCCCCCACTACGACCTTTTTCCCAACTTGTTTGGGGTCGGCCGGTATTTTCTGTAAGCCAGGAATTTTTACACCCGTTTGGCTGGCCCAATCGCAAACCATATAGGACGACCATTTTCAGTGACGGGAATTTGAGCGCCCAAACCACCAGGCCAGAGCAGGCAAAACGTTGTTTTGTTTGTCTAAAACTGGCTAATGTGAAATTGCATTATGATGGTTATATTTCTTGCTAAGAACATTGAGTTATACGTTATTCTATTTTTTAATAGAGATGAAGAAGAAAACAACAGAACATTAACTCAAAATATTTTGCTCTGAACTTAAAGTTGATCTAAACAAATGTGAAAATTGTAAACATTTTGTCCCTTTAAAATGTTTATTACTGTAGTGGACCTAATATTTAAATTCTAGTTATTATGTGGCTTTTAATTAAAGGATTGTCACGATATAATTTCACTAAAACTAGTAGTACTTGTTTTTTACAGTGAACTAATCAGTAAATGGCTATTTACGTGCCTCTATAAAAAATTTGCAAAAGGTGTTTCAATGAGCTTGTAAGATAATTACTTATGAACAAAATTTACGTATAAGTATTCTTTTAAAATAATTATAATAATTGATGACACTGTTTTTATACAATAATATGATAAGAATAATCATTTTAGATCATTGATTTTTAAATGAGCACTTCTTGTGAAAATTAAGACAATTATATATATTAAAATAATTTATTTCACAGTCATCGGGGAAGTTTTTCTTGCAGTAGTTAAACCTGTGAATGTTATTCTAAAAGTAAATGGTTCATACCTTTAGTGTTGACGTTGTTATAAAAATAATATATTATTAAGATTTCATATTAGAATTGCACTAAATTAAACTAGTTTTCGTGTAGATGATAGTAAACTCACTTATGTCAGTGTATTGCCTACAAGAAAATAAAATTGTGAAATTCCTTATGAATAGACAAAGTTATTTCTTAATTTGTTTATTACTGACACTAATATAATTGTATGTAGAGTCTCAGTGCCATGAACTGCGTAAAGCATGTTGTTTAACATTTACTGTAATTTGTCAACCACAACGTAATTATCATTTATAGTTCCATTCAAGTTGTGTTCCGGATCTAAGACGAAATACATTTTTTTGTTATCTCTCACTGAAACAGCTTTGTACAAAAGACTTACAGAGGACCAACTCAATAATATTTTCAAACATTTTTTTTATCTTATTTGTGCATCGCGTTATTTCAAATCATTAGTGGAATCTACTTAAAAGCTTTATGTATGCTAGTTCTAGAGGAAAAGTTTTTAACCACAATATCAGTACTAGGTGAAAAATAATTTAGCATTTTTGTAAAATTTCAAAAGTCGATCTCAACTAAGTGAAAGATCTAGTGATTAATCAAGTTGATTATTGTATGCTCCTATCATTCTTATGTGGCAAGTGATTAAACTTAAGATGATTCATGTAAATATAAACATTTACTCAATTAGTGAGTGGAAGGTAGAATCCACATATGATACGGCTGTAACACACCTTTCATACCATACAAATATTTTGTGTACTAATTCCATCCTAGGTGTTACACCCTCTAATAAAATTCTGTCAAGGAGGTTATCAACTGTTTTATGGGATAGTTATGCTGTATCATAGATTATTTTGTGTATGTGAGATTATTTGGAGCTGTTCTGCGGTGTAGAGATGATTTTGGATACTAGTTATCTAAATGTGTAATAGTTGGTCGAGTACAGGTACAATGTTATTTCTGAAAACTGTTGTAGTATTTTTCATAAATATTCACTTCTTTCTTGAAAGATTCGAAATTTGCTGTAGTGAATTTCAACTCTGATTTCTTAGCCTATTTTGTTGATCATGCGCACTAATTCTTTTACTATCAAAACCATACATAAAAATGCTTTACGTCATTTCAAAGTAAAGCTCATTTTCGTTTCTCTTCATGAAATACAGTTTGTATTATTATTCTTAAATATATTCCAGCCCTTCATATCATTTAACCAGTTTGTTTTGTTAATTATTCTGCCAATTCTTTGTCTCTTCCAAACTTCGAAATACAAAATATTACCTGGATAGCAATATAGTGAAACTTAATACAGGGAGAAGGAGAGCCATAATGAGTTGAGTGCGAATATAGAGGCTTTGGAATTAGTTTAAAGTCCTCTGTTGAATACAGAGTGCTCCCTAGCACTTCGGTAAGTGTTCCAGAGCTTTATCTCTTTCTACCCACTTACGTGAATGAACGATGATCTGGTCTATCTAAAATTGCTGATAATGTGAGTCACTCATGCAGATCAGACGAACACAAAGATGCAAGTAGAAAACTATCAAGAAGGAGCAACAGACTATGGCCACTGTTGGACGAACTCTTATGGTGCGTTGACATGAGATGTGGTGGTGGATAATGTTTTCAACTAGACTATATCTGCCACCAGGTGGCATGGTTGTCATTACACCAAGTGCATGATATACTTTGAATTAGCAAGGATCCCACAAGTGAAGTGAAAAGTGTTGATACCACCTGGAATCCCTACCATTTTCTAAGTGTTAAATTCTCTCACTTGCTTGATTGAGTGATACATCACGTGTTATTGATATAATTGTGGATGACTGCTCAAGCATAGAGTTCTTGTTGGAATTCCAGTTGGTTCACTAACTTTGTAGTCATATACACTGTATGTCAAATGACAAAATAAATGGTTGCCCCTGCTCTTACTATATCTGATAGGAACTAGGGAGGTGAAACAAATTATATATCCATCTTTAAAATGTTCGCCAAAATAACACCTAGAATATTTCTTTGAGAAATTTTGAATTTTTTACAGCTTAATAGTGTATACAATAAAATACGTGTAACTGAATCAACTTTGTTGCTGGAAGGCCATTCTAGAAGAGTTTCATTGGAACTTCGATCAAGCAGAGAATAGAGGCATCTGTCAGGAATATTATAAGGTTCATAAATGTGATGGTTATATTATGGGAGGTTGCTAGAGACGTTACTACTACTGTTGAGATTATACAGTGATTTGGTTGAGCTTGAATACCATTTAAGTAGAAGAGATACCCTGAACTTGCTGCTCCAGTTTAACTGATTGTGCATATTTGGAGACATCCAAATCCACATAGCGAACAAGGGAGGGGAAATGTCCACAATAATTTATTTATTGCTAATGTTAGTTTATTTTCCTTGTACCTGCACACCAGTCCAAATTGACCAATATATAGACAACTGGTTCTGAATCCTATCACATTTACTAGCGTGCCCTGAATCAAACGTGGACACTGTTGATAGAGAGGACTGCTATCTTCTCTGTTTTATTAGGTGGAGTGTTTAGGCCACCCTCTATGGAGTCAAGCATGACTT